AGCTTCTTGGAAATCATAAAATATCAATACTGAGAACAACTTTTGGGAAAGCAGGGCTCTGTGAAATTGAATGGAAACGTCAGCTCAACTCATATTTTGTGTGAAAATTCTTCTTCTGCCAGTCCTTCATGACTTTAAACGAAATTGGGTGAATACATCTTATATAATTATATGATTTTGAAAATGGAATGAACAAGCTACCATGAATTAGGTCCAAGCTTCCTGGAAATCATAAAATATCAATGCTGAGAACAACTTTTGGGAAAGCAGGACCATGTGAAGTTAAATGGAAACGTCAGCTTTACTCACATAATTCTGGGAAAACACTACTCCCACTCCTTTATGACCTTAAGCGAAATAGGATGAATACCTCCAATATGCCCCAATTCAACTATCCGATGATGGACACTGTCATGACTGCTGTGTCCCGGGACGCAGGACTGTTTCGCTGGGCTCAAGCTACAAAAACATGTTAAAACCAACAAACGAAGCGGTCGATCAAACCGAGGTCCATGCCATTTTGACGCTTCCGCCGGCCGGTAGAGTTGGCAGATCGTCAAGGCTGGGTCCGATGGTCGGGAAGCGACCTCTGGCCGTCGACTCACGTGCCTCAAAGCCCAACAACAGGGACGGCGTTTCGCTCAATTGTACCTTGAAGAATCCGTCGGTGGGCTCGTCTCTTCTGACTTCTCATTGCGTCGGAACAGTTGGCCCGCAGCGGTTCGTCAGTTGGCCGCACCAGAAAGCGAAGCACGGCGCGTGCGAATTCAGGTGCGGCCAATTCACGAACCGCCCGCGTCCAACTGTGCTCCAGTCGAGGCAATTGCGCCGATTCTGCTGACGCCTCGGGCGGTCGGGTGAGCCTGCCCTAAAGACGACATCAAAGTAGTGGAACAGACACTGCGACGCACCGAGTCAGAATGGCCTGCGCCACAGCAGCTCACTTTCAGATCCACCACTGACATTCGATCAATACTTGGCTGTGATTGGTTCTTGTCTCGGCTGTGATTGTGTCTCCGTTCTATCCATTTTGCACCGGTCGGCACAGAGTGACTCTCACAAACTGTCGCCTGCTTCTCACGTGATTGGCTAGTACGGCCGTATTGATCCCGTACTCTTTGCGCTGCGGGCCGGAGTCCACGTCTTGAGCGCTGCCAGCACATCCGGCTACACGCTATCTCCGGACTGAGTGGGGACTTACCTTTACGCCTGCGTTTCTTTCGGTTGTCTGGCCGTCAACTTATCTTCTCTTCTCTCGCCCGGCTTGCTCAACCCGCCCTCCCGACACGTCTTGGGAATGTTCTGGAGGGCTTTTCAGTTGGCACTCATCCTCGGCTGGCTCAAACTT